AGCCGCCATCAATAGGGCTATTCTTCTTCGCGATGTACCTCAGCCGCCTACCGCAAATCCGACTCTGCGAAAAATAACAGCTAGAGTGCTAAACTATGACACCGACATCACTCATTCAGTGTTGGCAAGGAAGAGTAGATAGTAAAGGTCTTCACTACGAGCGAAGTTAGGGTCTGGATATAGTCGTTCGAATTTCAGGATCAAAAACTGCAAGAGCTTTCCTTGCAACCTAATGCGTATTACGCCACAATTTCATTTTAACACCAACAGCCATAATCCCTAACTGCCCCTACCTACAACCTCTCAAAGTTCTCAAATACACGACCTAACCAGAAGTCTTTCAGGACATGGAGCGTCTTTTCAAAACGGTTTTTGGCATTTCATAAAGACACTCGCAGGGAGTATAAAACTGATGGTGAGATAATTTTATCTGAGCGGCACTGGGAATGCTAGAAACATGTTGAAACAATGGCTTGTTGTTCGATCCCCACTGAGGACATTGTACGAAACATACAACAAAAACGCTCCATGTCCTGAAAGACTTTTCTGGTAAGGAGAATACATACGACCCCCCTTCCAACCAAACTCTGAGCGTGGTTTACCCCAGTATTGCGCACCGTTACTTTGTTATCGAAAAATGCCCAACCGCCATGGAATTTGAGCGCCTAAAGTACATGGAAAGACAACAAAACCAGTCACTGTCTGACCGTGATTGCGTGGATTACCAAGTAACGGAAGTGTTAAAAAGGATCGTGTATGGTACGAAGCTGAAGAAATCAAGAATATTATCGACTTCAAACGTCACACCATCTTTACAGTTGTAAGATGAGAAGGCCAATCGAAATCTTCAGTATGTCTAGAATGACCAGCTGATGAGAGGAAGGATACCACATGGTTGGGCTCACGGCATTGAGCCATGGTTGTGAAATTAAGGGTAGAGTTTGGCGGGAGGAGAGCGTACGTAACTGGGAAACACAGAGATAGCTCTGGTCTGAATTCAGGACAGATGAACGAATCATTCTTAGATGAAGCTGTTTCTTCCGCTGTTTCTTCCGCTGCCCTGTACAACAAATTTTATATATTTTTATTTGACCAATTAATTAACACAATCTGTACTCTCTCCAGAGAACGTGCCGGCAAGATTGAGCTCTCCGATGTCGAAACACCTTGGCGGGCGTCTCGCCTTCGGTCACGAAGTTCTTAGGGATTTTTACGGAGATCTTTTTGTAGCATATCTGAAAATTAGTATGTGATTATAGAATGAGAGAAGAAAAGCGAAGAATGAGTTACTATAATGAAGCCAGCAATCGACTGTGTTCACGTCTGTTGGGATTTTCATTCCCAAACACCGAAAGGTAAATAGGGAACGCTCGTATAACTTCGTATAATGTATGCTACCATAAACATCATGGATCACTGGAATCTAAATACTGTCTACAAATTACCTGTCTTGCTGATTTTCTGGCTCAACGCCCTCGTTTATACGGCAGGATAGAGCAGCAGCAGTGTCCACATCCACAGTAACTGGATCAGAACGCAAATAGACCAGACGTCCAACTGTGGCAGGGTGAGTTTAAGACCGGGCTTGTTCCTGACCCCAACATCATCTCATTCGATGGTCATTGAATAACAGAAAGATGGACTAGTACCTTATGTCGTTATGACCTCAAATACAAATCAGATACATGGCGCATGCACATTATGACGCACTCACAATTCCTATAAAGCCAGAATGGGTGACGGGGGAGGCACTATACGTATAGCCCATTCAAGTTGGCTATTGTAGAGCACTTTTCCACTCTGGCTTGCAATTAAATTTACTGAGCCAAACAGACTTACTCCATCGTAGTTGCATTTGTGGTAGATGTTCACTTTGGGGTCAATCGTGGTGAGCTCTTTCTTGCTTCCAGACATCTCGAAGAAACCCTTTGCATCGGTGAATTTCTCGTCCAGCAGTTTATCAAGCACTAAAAAATTTATTTTGAGTCAAAATATAGACCCACGATAGACAGAAATTACTCACAAACTTCCTTTTCGTATAGCTTCACTTTCACGTTTTCAGCTGGTTTTCCATTGCAAGTGAGATGTCCCATCACGGCGACCGATTGAACGGATCCGATGAACGGTATGGCAGAAGCGGCCGATACCAGGGAAATCAACAGGACCAGCTTCATTTCTAGAGCTAAAATCGCAGTCTGACGTTTGTAATCTGGAGGATGACTAGAAATGGAGGTTATGGTCGAAGAAATAACATGAATTGGCTATTTAACTATGAGAGCCATAACTATGTGCTACCGACAGTATGTCACTGAGTAATGTGCGGGTTTGCGGAGGAAAGTCGACGAAGAAAATCCTTTCCTATCCTTCTCTCGTAGAGGCTCAATTTCAAAACGGGCTTGGTGACCGATGGGTGTAGTTTGCTTTTCCAGCCTTTCCAAAAAATTTCTACAAGGGCATTCTGAATAACCTATAATTTTATACTGAATTCAGAGGTCGAAGCCGGTCACTTTAAGTAGAAGCTCGATAATTTGCTGACTTACAAAGACATTGCTTTGTCATTAACTATACTAAAAATAACATATTGAATATTGAAATGAGTGGAATAAGCGAAGAGCGATGACAGACAAAGAAGTGTGAGCCGTATCGAATTTGAAGGGCGGGAAGTAGTTTCGGTTGTCTTTTGTGTGGCTCAACCGGTTACCGCTAGCGGATCGTTGTAACGCGTCAGACGAGGACGATGACAGACGGCGTTGATCGAGGCCACCGTCACGGAAAGCTAAGAACGATCGAGCGTGTCCACGGGTTTATTTCCCGGTAACAATGACGTCTTCTTTTACCAGCGATCAATTTACAACCCATACTACAGATTTTTATCGTCACAAGGCATTTTCGCACTTGTTTAGCAAATGCATGAATCACACAACCACTGCAATAATAGCGCTTGAGTAATGAGCGCGGTGGTCTTACACTAAAGGGAGTGCGCTATGTGTCATAACCAAGTTAATAGCGAAAGCGACCATCCATTACGCAATAAACGGATCTGGTCAAAGAGAAAGGATTAGAAAATGCATCTCTCTGTACTATATAGAGGTACTTATCGCTATTGGTGTATTATATGCTCAAAAAGGAAGCAAGAGGTGTGAGCTGGACCATCAACGAAGGAAAAAAAACAGAAGAAACTCAAGCTCATAATTGGAGATTTCTTTTTAATCTTCTTCGTCTTCTTTTTCTGAAATCATGACGATGACAAATTGTTGCAGTGAGGGGGGGGGGGGGAGAGGTGGGAAGAGGGAGAGAGGTTAGGGGTAGAGGGAATACATTCAAGAACACGTCGTAAGGGGAACGCTCAGACTCAGCTTATGGTGCGGACAACCGAACATGATAGCGGTTGCGGTTTTGAGGCAAGGCCTTCGTGCCTTATTCATGTTATTTCATGTAGCAACAGTGTTACAAAATTTTACTAAAAATGCAATTGCGATTTTCGTGAAGCGGCTTGAGCGAGCCACAGAAAATACCATTTCTTTACCTTGATCCAATGAACAATTATGAACTGGTTACCGTTCCTATGCCAGCGCAGTAATACAGCGTAGACGATTAATTGCGAGAAACGTAATGTATAATGGCATCTACTTCAGTACTGAGACAGCCCCAGCCGTGGACATGGGTCACTGCGCCAGGACGCCTTGAAAAGGGACAATGAAATAATGCGGCACTTAGAAGATTCTAATCGAGAGCCAGGTTCATTCTCTTAAGATTGCGGTCCAGGATTCTGCACGGACCATAGCAGCAAGTGATTCTTCATGAAAAGGAACTCTCAAGAATGTCACGTTAACCACAGGTTTACGTGCGAGACTGCAAATCAGTCACCAGTCTGAATGGAATCAGTTTTTAGCCGACGTCATAGTTTGCGAATCTAGATCCGAGCGTTGCGCCAGCGAGTCGAACGATGTACCAGCGAGTCGAACTATGGTACCAGCGACTCAATAGTGGCGGGACCCAACGTTCAAAGGAAGCCCGCCACCCACTTTCAAACAGTGTCACGTGACAGTGGACGCTGTTTGAAAGTGGCGGGACTTGCTTCGCTAGCGAATCGTTCGATTCGCAAACTATGACATCGGCGGGACTGGTATTATAAATATGAATAAGAAGCACTAAAAATGGAGTCATTTAGTGAGATGTTATTTATTGTCAACTCTATATCTTTGCTAATCGCGGCGCTCCTGTCCTTGGGAGAACTTTCAAAACAGGGCCAATGGAAGGTGACACTAGAACTAAGCTCATGAGAAGGGAAATACGCTCGGGAGAACAGAAATTGCTCACATCCTCCACGAGAAACTCTTCCCCTCAGGCTTAGTCCCAAACACAATAATTGGTTGAATCTCTCCGCTCATGGGATTCCCCCCCCCCCTTAACAACAAGCGCCCTGATTGCTATAACAGCCTTTTGCTATTCCTTTTCTTCTCTTCCTGCCGCTGCCTTTGAATATCCACGCGTTGGAATGTAATTCGAATCGCAGAACCTTGTGGATTCTATCCGCGATCTGCACACGTTCTGACGTGTTGGATTCCACCGCAGAAGCCCGCGAAGACTTGCCTCGTCCGGATCGCCGCGCAGCCCGCCGCG